AAAGGTAAACCTCGCAGAGGCTGTGAGGAACTACTCACTATTAACACATAAATATTCATAATACTCAAAAATAGCAGTGGTAGCCTTGTAAAAAAGGAAACTGGCGAGATCAAAGTTCACTTCCTAGTTTCTATGCTTAACTACTGACTGATGTGAATTGAACTTCAAGCTTCAGGGTTACTATTAGAAAAAAGAATGTGATAAGGTGCAAACACCTGGAATATTCGGAATTGTGGATGGCCTGTGAGACGTGAGACGAGAAAATCCAGATGAGCGTGTAACATCTTAACTGGTGGGTATGCTCTCTGAAATAAATCCGATTACTAAATTAAATTGTTTGGTTTGTTAACTGCTGGCACAAGTGCCCACTGAGTAAGGATGCGGTTTCGAATCCCGTCTCGGGCCAAGGCTTAGCTCGTAACCCAGCACTTTTGTGACTGAAAGTTCCTCAATAATCCAGACACGCATGAAGCTGGGCCGCGTTCCCATGCCCTTGATTTTATCTTCTTGATGTCATTTCCTTTTCTTTTTGATGTTTAACGCTTCAGTCACTTGCGCATGAAATAAGATATGACCAAGCATATTTCAAGTGCAATAATATAATAGCTTAATTTCCTTATAATATTAACCAGGGAAGGCATTCGACTTCCTATGGAACTTTGAACCTTCGGGCTTTCAAAGCCGCCGTGGAGTAGCGGTAATGCCCTTGCTCTCCAACCGCTAGCTCATCCCCAGCTCATGAAATTCGTTAACCTTCGTGTGCAAAGTTCTACATCACTACCATTACTCCACGGCAATTTCGAATGCCTAGACGCTAGCATGGTTCATATGTTACGCTACATTTGCCGCTATTTTTAACTACTCTCACCTTTCTTTGGCAGGTCTACTTTGCAGTTTTTTCCTTCCATAACTTGAATCAGCGTTAGAAACTCTATCAGTCTATGTATATGGGTGCCTTCCCTGGTAAGTCCTCATCGTAGCCACTTACGAATTGAGGTTCTGCTATCTGTCTTGGTGTAAAGCATAACAAGGATAAAGTGTTTGCGCCTATCAACACGCCCTTTGGAATGCGCCATGCATTCGGCTTCGTTCAGTATTGGGTGGAATCCTAAACAATAGGTGATATTTCGCCTATACAATGACTCGGTGAAGCCGGTTGAATGGGTAAGTAAGCGTTCTTATTCTCCAATACAGGCCTTTTACCAATTAACCGATACCGCGCATGGAAGGCCTGTAGTAGGCGCGCGGCCCGGGATTTGATCCCCTGACCGTGCGCTTGGTAAGCGATGTCACTTTCCATTACAACATTTCCGCCCTGGCACAGGTATGACATGCACAAGAGAATATCTGTTGTGAAATAATGGGACATTGTTCCAATGTTACGGGAGATAAGGAATAAATTACCTCTTTTCTGAGATAAACCGAGATGTTTAGTGCGTGAACATAGGAGAGATTCCCGATTTCGGCCAAAGTGAAGGAGTCATCCATGAGACGAGTCCTAAAGAGATCGCTTATGAGTAGTACCTTTTTGCTACGAACAATTAAATACCTTGCCGCAACTGGTATGCAGTTGGCGTCTGCATGAAGTCGTGCCGTAATTTCGAGGTATAAGGCCGTGTCATATCGCACCCGTACAAAATTGCGTCCTTCTCGATCCAGCACGATGTCAGTGCCCAGGTCAATTATTGCTAAACATGACATCTAAATGATTAGTTGCATGGTTGTTTAGACTATAAAAACTGAATTATCAACACTGCCTCATGATGAAATTATATTTTGGAGATACTTGCCAAAAAAAACACCCAAAAACATTCCCAACGCCTCTAGAAAAGTGAAGCATTAGGTGGTCGCTCCGAAATATTAGGTTGAGAGAATGTTCTGCAACAATCTTACTCAAATTCTTTTCTTTTCTCAAAAATCCAGAAGCAGCCTTGTCGTACCAATGGTGTTCGATGGTAACGTTATAGCGTATTCTACCTGCACCAACGCCTTACATCTACTCTGCAAAACTTTCTAATTTGCATAGCTCAGTACCTCGCAAGCACTCGTAGAGCGACAAAGCTTACCTTCAACTTACCGCGTCGACATGTCGTAATATGTAAAAATATAAGAGCGACGTTTTTTATGCTCCTCCCATTCCTGAATTGAGCCCGCCAGGAATTTTATGGTTAGAAGCATCAGAGAATTCCTGCCTCTATCCAGGGTTTGTCCAGATTAAGCACCAATTATCGCTTACTCTGACTCTGTGACTCTCAAGACAACGCTCGCTATCTCGCAACCGCGTACGTTTCGAGGAAAATGCACTGAGGAGCTAGCTGAGCATCCTGGACATGTAGTAGACAGAGCTGATGTGGTATGTAGGCATCTGGTCGAGCTAAGCAAACAAAAAAAAATCTGCAGCTGCAGGACCTCCTTCCAAACTATTATAAGCGACAAATCGATTCATGATCACTTCATCACCTCACTCTCATTGAAAACAGACCAATTGCTGTTGATCAGAGCAATTCTGTGCGCTAGGTTCATATTTTGTTCTTAAAGGCATAGGTCACGATCAAAGTGTTGTGTTCTTTTGTTCCTTTTTCGAAGGGTTAGTGAAGAAGAAAGCAGAAAAAGCACTTCAGAAAAACGTTAAACCTCCCTTGTGAGGACGACTCGAGAGAGCATGTCGTAGATGAGAGGGTGCGATGTCACGTATGCTATGATAGATTAAGATGGCAGCGGTGGTGCGATCGAGGAAAGCATTAGCTCCTTTGGTGTACGCTTTCATGTCGCGAGAGTAACACTAACTCTGCGATAAGAGGTCCTGCTCCCTCAAAGGGTCCTAATTTCCGTGAGAATCTTATTCCTATCCGGGTCTTTAGCAGTTGTGCTCGTTGTACTTGTGACTCTCACTTAGTTCATATTGAGATCTCTGCCATTAGGAGCTCTCTGCGCACACAGTATAACAACAATCATGCAGCAGAAACACAAGAAGATTGGCGATATTTGAGCTGTTGTGTGTAGGAGTATCTGTGTTACGGGATTCAACTCCAATCATGGTTGTCTACTGGCGTAGAGAGCAATTTCTCGAAGGCGCTTTCTACGATCCAATTGGAATGTCAGTAGCGAGAAAAACAAGCCGCTCGAAACATTGAAAGTAAAGATCTCTTTTTCTGGATTTAATATGTCAACGTGATAAACACTACCAGATAAGAGAAAATGTGCGCCATCGTGAAATAACTGACAACACACAAAATCAAATTGTTACTCCTGACTTTAAGAAAGCAGCCCTTGGGAGAGTTTCGAGCTGCAATACGCGGTATGCAATTGGAAGGATAGTCATGACTACTAACCTGTGTTATTCTCTATCAGCCAGTGCACTGTCGGTTTCAGTGTGAGCGGATCTCGAAGGAAAAGCGGAATTTTCCACTGCACTCCACTTCGTTTATGACCGGGAACGTGCTGCAAATATAATGCAAAAAACAAAGTAATATAATAACTAGTCACATAGCCTTAATATACAGCACCTTATTACCTAGGTCACTCCCAGTAATCAGGTATTATCAGCCATGCTGCCATGAGCTCTCTAATTTTTCAGAAATTAGCTCTCCAGACTTTCTCAAATTTGTGACCAGCAAGTAATTCCTATCGCCAATAAAATCTGGGCTAAGTAGTTTTAGAGCATTTCACATCCGATTTACGGTCCTTCTGTGATGTTCAACAAGTTAAGCCGCGTAGCACGCACCGAAAATGCCACCATTGTTCTAACCTTAATCATATTATCAGAAAATTGAGAAGGGCACGGTATGGCATGGGCGGATTGTCCCCACTCCTGTAAGAAATTGATATTATGTAACTATTGATGCGTTTTTTGTACAGAAAGTCTCCGCAGTAAAATCGGCCAAGCGGAACATAAGGGCACAAAGCATTTTTTCTCTCTAGAACTCTCCACGACGTGCCAAGATAACATTTATAAGCTAATGCTTAGGCAAGATCGCTTTGTTCAAAACCGAGAAAAAATTGTGACTATCTGTACAAGTATCCACATTCTTTCTTGAATAGTAGAAAATTAGACAGATCAAAAGTAATCGGGCAACATAAGCCACCCTAGAGTAAGCTAATTGGGGATTCCTGAAACACAGGTGGCAGCAAGGAGCCAAGTGGCAGCCCAAACACTTCTTATTTAACACTTTCTTTTACTAACGCGATTTACAGTGGAAGTCTTGCCTTGAACAGAATTTCAGCTTCCATCCTTGGAATCGTGTAGTCGCTCTCCGAAGTCACAAGCACACATACGGGGCAATAGTGGATACGACATGAGCAATAGAAGATACGATTAGATATGACTAAGCCTTGAAGGAGGATTTCACGATAAGAACGAAGGTCAACGAAAAGGGGAAAATTGCATAGTTGGGATACAGACAGGCCTCCTGGTGGTGCTGTCCGGACACTGCAAATCAGGAAGCGAAAGATTTGACTTTGGCCCGATGGCTAGCAAATGGCTGACTTTGGCGCAAGTTAGCGGGGTACGCCCACCCGACATACACTAAATCCCTCGTCTATACGTGACAAGGGATTAGATAGCACAGAGAGCGTACTGTTGAAGCGTCCACTATCCACCTCCACCATTATTTCCAGTGAGCAACTTTTCTTGCCTATCTTTTTTCGGCAATTTTTTCGGGACACTTTTACCCAAGAGTTCGATCTCCGAATCGTGCGAATGGTAAGCAGCGCCACTTGCCAGTACACCACTTCTGCCCAATAAATGATAAGCAAGGTTAAAGTAATAGTCACCAATGATGTTCGTGAATTCTCACCCTATAAATCTCCTGCGTGACTTGAACTTTTCCATCGTTTCGTTTTTTCACATGTAGAACTGGGAAGCCTTGCTGGTAAATCCATGTTTCGATCACTTCTGTCAATTGTGAAAATTCCTGGACCACCCGCTAGCATCCACCACTGTTTGAGGCGACCATGGACTCTGAATAATCATCCGAATGAAAATACAATCATTAAAGAGAATCCTTCTATTTTATAAAGCGCTAACTTTGTGTGTCGGTTTGTGTGTCTGTATGTGTGTGTATGTATGTGTGTCCGTCCGCAAAATGAAGTGAGTGAGAAGGAAGCTCATGGGATAAACAAACCGCTAACAGAATCATGTAGCTCACAGGACTTTAGCTATTAGTGTTTTGCAATGGCATGATTGTGATAACACCCCAACGGCTACATAAACACCTACTGAGGTCACTTCCAGTTATTTCACATGGTGCTGCAGCCGCTGGAGGGCAGTGGAAGGGAGGGGAGGGTGGGGGGAAAGGAGGAAGAAAACCAATCACCTACAGACCTAAGGTTGGTTAGGTTTTGATGTCATTCCAAGACGTAAAGCGTACACAGGGAAAGGAAGTCCCGGCGATTGACGGGGGACCAACCTGTTTATTCTAAATCACATGAAATTACAAACAAAACAACATTCTAGAAACATCGCTCACGCAGTATGCATGGTTGGCATGTAAATGTTATCACTCAGATGGACAAGGGACTCTCATAGAAATATTCAGCAATTACCTGAGCGATAGAATCCCCTAAATCACTAATGTGGGTGGATGCAGATTGCGCGGTTCCGAGATGCGTTTCAGAAGCACCGGGGACTTCCTTCCCTGACTCCGTAACCTTCGCTTCATCATACGTGCCTCTACTGCTGCTATAGAAATGTGCTTCTCTGCTGTTCCTATCCTCTCTGTCTCTTTCGTCATGGACATTTTTTTGGCACGATATAAGGTACTGGATATCTCACAAGGGAGGTCTTTCAGGGCAAGGTGCGCTTTTTCAAAACGGTTTTGTGCATATTGTAGGGACGCATGTAGGGAACGCAAAACCATGTTTCATTTTCGCTGAACGGTTATAGCAGTACCAAAAAAGAAGCATAAGGTACTGTTAAGGGTTCGATCCCCGTGGCGACTAAATTTTGCATTTGGGTTGGCGCCTACGGTTTGGTGCCAAATCGCGCTAAATATCAAAATCAGATGTCAAATTCATCGTCAGGACCATTTTGAAGCCAACAAGTGGCCGCCAACCTTGATTGCAAAATTTAGTCGCCGCGGGGGATTGAACCATCAAGAGTATTATTCACCACTTTTTTGGTACTACTAAAACCGTTCAGCGAAAACGAAACATGGTTTTGTGGTCCATACATGCGTCCCTACAACATGTACTAAACCGTTTCCAAAAAGCGCACCTTGCCCTGAAAGACCTCCCTTCTTAGTGTCGTTTTTTCACCACGAGTTTCGGACCACCAATATTTTAATTCAGAATCCGGGGAGTGAAACAGCATATTCATCGAATGACTCATTAGCCTTTCCCATTTACCAGTATGAGTGGAAACCTCGTACGATTAAAGCTAGGAATTTTTTGAGTCGAAAAAGAGAGGTAGGTCGGTTTGACATCATCTGACAAATCATCCTTATACGAAGTTATACGATACTTGCCACGCGGTATAGTATAGGTACTTTACCAGAACACGATAAGTTAAGCAATTTATGCGAAGTCAGAAAACTGCAACAAAACTTATTACGACTTGAGAAAAACCTCTTATGCGTGATAAGCAGAAACGATCCACAGAAAGTCAGGCCGAGACCGGGAGTGACGGCTACTCTCAGAAGAAGTCAATGATGCGAATCCTAGTGACGCGAAGAAACTCAAAAAAGAGAGCCCAAGTGTGCAGAGATGTCCAGTGTAGTCGAGCGAGGAAAAAAGGGCAAACGTGTCTGTGTTGACCCGCGGGGGTTTATATACCCTTCCCCGGGGTCAGGGTTCAAAAATCAGAATTGTCGTGTCGATAGTGAACCCTCCATTATTTGTGTGGTCTTGCGTACGTTGCAAAATTCAAGAGTTCATTATTGACCGACACCTTTTTTGTTGACGGCACGTATTTTGCCATTGGCAATGCCTTGTTTTTGTGCGTAGTGGGTCGGAAATATTGAGCGACCTCACATTGTGATCAAAATTACACTGCAATATCCTTCTCCTTGCTAAAAGTGGTAGCCTTGGAGAAAGAGTTATTTGTTAGCTAGACTGGGGTCTGCACTGTATGGTGGAAAAGTTATAACTTACCAGCTCAACTGGACAATTTTTCCCGGAGTCTTTTTTGCCACATAGGGTCAAAAACGCACCCTTTTTGAGCACACGTGAGTAGCAGATGAGCACATTTATTAGAATTTCTTGTGCAGTAAACTTTCGGTTAAAGCGTTTGTGCATCATCGATCAGCACTGCTAAGGTGTCCTCATTTTCGCACAAGCGGACTAGTGCTGCACGACTGATTTAGCTAGGGCCACCATTTTTTGACGACGATTGCGGGCATCACTTCAAAGACTTCACTGTCTTTTGAGAAAACTGTGAAAAACCGATGAGCATTTTAAATGGTAGTATTCCTCCAACAAATGCAATGTTGGTTTGGTGGGCGGAAGTTGTAGCTCTCAGCAAGAATTTTGAAGCATTTGGTACACACATGCGAATTTGCACACTGGACCCAGGAATTTTCAAAAGAAAGTATAAAAATGGGGGAAAGTTAAATTGTGAACCAACAATAGAAGAATAAGCAACATATTTCGCAGTATTAATGAGCAAAAAGGACTTTCTGAGATATTGATTTTCCATGGTAATCGGCCCCAAAACTTCCTGAACTCAGAAAAGCGACACTAAGATATCCGGTACCTAATAGTTAGAAATAATAGTTCGTATTACTGCGTAAACTTATAACTAGGTAGGTAAATGTCTTCTTCTAACAATCAATCAATGTATATTCATGAGTAAAAATCGCTTGCAATAATGTTAAAATAACGGCGACTGTGTTACGATAAAGAGTACGCTCGGAATGCGCCATATATTCTTCACTAAATGCACTCGTTCGTGAGTTGATTTGGAGTTTTTCTCATAAGGGTGACAAGGTGAAACCGTAGATTGCATGGCGGATCTCATCTTGGTGGGGCCGGAACAAGGTAGTGTGAAAGGAGAGTCACACCTTTAGACCCCACCGATTCCACCAAAAATTCACACGTCCTTTCTTCGATTCCGCCTCACCTTGCAAGTACCGCGAGCAGATCTGTGTGATCCACATTTTTGTACATGAACTTGTTGAGGAACAGGCGCAGACCATCACGGAAAGTCTCTTCACCAACAATGCGTTCGACCATCAACATGATTAGCGTGGCCTGCAAAGAAACCGCGATACTCACAACGGTGAGATTTTTATCTATGGGGATACCTTCTTATACGTGTTTGAGGAGAACGCTGTTTCTGGATCGAATCCTTCATCTCTTCTCGAGACCGGCACGCTATTTGGCATCTGGTCGTTGCGCATCGCTCTGGCGATGTCCACAGACAATTCATCCTTGAAAGAAACAGGAAAATTCTTTGTTATCAATTGATCGTTTCAGAAATATACGTAAATTCCCTTGAAAGCCACAAAAAAGTTCACGGCGGATTTCGGAGCTCTATGCGGGCTGCGTGAAAATGTAGTTGGGGGGGGGGCGAGGGGATACCTATTCTAACGAAGGTGAGTTCCTGAAAGTATATATCATATCTAATCAAAGTAGTGTTGCCGGAAGGCACTTACGTCGTATCATATCTTTCACTGAGACCGTGGCCTGCGACCATACCTTACCCTTGTCATATTATTCTATGGGTAACCATAAGATCGCTACTACCTTGCTGGCTCTTCACTTTCACCAAACCCTCTTGCGACTGCCACGCGAGTCCTTGAAGGAAAGGCCTCTCAGGTATCCGATTTTGTATGGACCGGCTCACTTTGATTAGGTGTTGTCAGTTCGTTTATTATGAGTGCCCCCCCCCTCGAGCTACATTTTCACCGCTCTACTGATGGTAGAAATCTCAAATAAAAATCAATAGGTAATACTAACTCGGCTCAATGGTGAATTGTCGATGATGTCGTTCGCCTTGAGACCAATCATGGAAGCGAAACCTTCGTTCAGCCACAAATCGTCCCACCACTTCATCGTCACCAAATTTCCGAACCACTGTAATGGGTCCAATGTAAAAAGCCGCTCTCACTTGTACTGATCACGATAACAGCAGGTGAAAACACGAAACTTCTCAGGCTCGCTAGTTGGTGTGGAAATGAAAGCCTAGTTACTACTAGTTTTAGCATTA